CATTGACAGAGACTCAGATCCAAGAAAACTGCCAGCGCACACCAGGCCGCAGAGACCATGGTTTGCTGAAGTGTGGCGTCGCATACACCCACAAATCTTATATCTCAGAAGGGTGATGGAACAGCCCAGCACTTAGCCTAGGCCTCCACCCTACAGAGACGGGGTAACCATTCACTCATCAACTGACAGGTACTACCCATACTCATCAGCCACTTCACACACCGCACAAAAAGGGCTGATGGTGTGTTCGGTAAATGCATCAATTGGCAGAACTTTCAGTGGAAGCCCTAATTGCAGTACTAGATGAAAGCGGGAAGAAGGACGGTCAGCAATAATACCCATGGAGAAGTGTGTCCATAAAGAGAGCGGACTAGGATTCCGCCGTAGATGCCAGACAGACCGGCTATTAACGGCATGCAGATTCAGACTGCACAGGGGCTCCTTAGCATAATTGCCGAATAATAAAGACTATGAGGTTCATACGTATAGAGGTTTAACAATGCGTATCCTTCCTGAGACGACAGTGACTGACAGATCAACCACAGCGTTCACAATCACCTGCTGTAGGTGAGAAGAAGTAGATGTGATAGCTGGACGTTTCGAAATCCGTCGCGGATTCATCCTCATCATAGCCAATATTAGAGACGGCTAATTCATACACAGAGTTGCAGTATTTATAGTATAAAAAGTACGTCCTGGGACTCGCAGTTTCGCTTGAATTGACAACCTAGTGTAGTCTTATGGCAGTCAAGATGGGTGTTGGAGACGACTGCGAAACAACGACTGCACACAACTGCGATCACGCCTGCCCTTCTGGACAGCGGAGTTCTCCACAGAGGCTGAGTGATAAAGTTTGTTTGAGGTACTGAGAATGCCAACTTTCAAGTGAGTTTTCAGTACCACGCAGATGCTGCGGAACAGCGCAGTTTACGGAGTGGATGGCGATCAACTGAAACCAGGTAGAACTTTGGTGCGAGGCCGAGGGGGGGGGGAAGTAAATTTTTTTGCCGGCAGCAGTGAGGAGCACCCTAATCCCCACCTTCGTTGACAAGTGAACTGAAAAGTCATCCCCGAATAAGGCAGTGTAACCTTTATATTCCTCAATTTGCCGCAGCACCTCACGGTGGAAAAAGCATAACCCTTGGGATGACATCCTGTTCCCAGCCCCATCCCCGAAATCACTTGTCTTTCGGCCTGCCGTGATTGAAAAAAGCAAACATAAAAGGGCTGCAAGGTTTTAATCGAGACCGGTGCAACGTCTTCAACGGGTAGAAAATGAAGGCAAGTGACGGTATGGTTCGCCGGCGCAAACAACACGAACAACCGTTGCAGTCCTGAGGGCGCAACGGTGAATTGTGCGAGAATTTGGGCAAGGATGATTAGATATTGCCTAAACAAGCATGGATATAGGAACGCTCGGCCCAAGTAATAAGGGGGCCCTTAACATAAACTCTGACCTTAGCCTTAATTCTAACCATTACACTTACAGTTTACATTCGCCTAGTCTTAATTCTCAACTTAAACCTAACTTATCTTAACGCTAACCCTAAACTTAACCGTAATTCTACTTTTTCGTGGAGTTTGGTGCAAAGACACCTCTTTGTGTTGCAGGCGGTTCCTAAACCTCTTATTCGCGTTAGGAGCCATACAAATCATCCTTATCCAAATCTTTAAGCAGACCTGCCCAGCATCCATCCCTCCCCCTTTATAGTTACGTTGGCTGTATTTGGGTGGCAAGACAAAGTCAGGAAAAATGGAGGAGTCTGGGCGCAATGGGCGGCCCTCATTGCCGGCAGGGTGGCAGTGGGCTAGTTTTCCGAAAGGGTGCCTATTCCCGTATACTAATCCTATCGCTAGACCAAATCTCAACCCTAAACTTATTCTATCTGCAACTTTAACATCCAGGTAACTCTTAGTTCCCTGGAAAAAGGAGCCCAAATCCTCCTATAGTGGAACCTCGGGTGACGAAAAGCCCCAGATAACGAGCGAGCCACTAGCAAAAAAGATTTTTAGATTGGCATGCTTCCACCCAGTTAAGGAGATGTCAGTGCATGTATGTGTGCCTGTGTCCGCCGTTGAGTCTGGCACCCAGGGCGCGGGTCCTCGGTCGCCTACAGCCAATCAGTGAACTAATACAGTTTGGTTGACTACGTTTTGCAAGACGTGCGTTTCAACTGAAGAGCTCGGTGCTGCAACGGATTGAACTCATTAAGTGAGGTTCCATTGTTTACTGCGGGATGCTACTAAAACGCTATCCTGTCGGGGCTACCTACAACATAACTCATAAAGGAAACCTTCTATGTTATTAGCCGGCTGTTAGGTTGGGATCCAATGGGAAACCTCAAAACAATGCGACAGTATCAACCAGATGACTTACCTGCAGACTCTGTAATTGGTTATAGACTGTAGTGATGCGGGTCTTTGCGGAATTCACCTTCTTAACGTATTCGGACAGGTCGACAGGTGGTGGGATTACTTCCAGAAGCCTGGAAAGGTCTAGAAAGGGGCAAGAGGAACACGTGTAAGCCCTTAAAAATTCCAAAAGATACCTATGACTTTGTTAATGGTTGAGGTGGAAATGGCTTAAAACATTCAAGATACTATACAACATTTTGTTGACGCCAAACAAGTCTTAGTAAAAGAAGACGATGCTCAACCCCTACTGCAAGCTAAATGACTCATGGGTGCCAGCTAGGGGTGCTGGAACAGGTAGAGATCCGGGCAAAAAGACCTGCTGAATAGTTGAAGTCCACCGAGTAGGAGACCATAAAATACGACAAATTCTAATGTCGAAGAACCCTGTAAACCGACACGGGAGGATAGCTGACAAACTGGAAACACTGCCAGATGGGAGAGAACTCCAAGAGCCTTAAGATTATCGTGCTCAACTGGGTTGACAAAAATAAAGTTTTAAAGCCGCGGAAAAAGTCATTCGGGAGTGCCTGAATTTCCAATTTCAACAGAAGCAGGTCAAAACGGAACCTCCTTATTGTGGAGTTTTCTAATAGTCCTTTGAAGATTTCACGTTTTATCGCAAAACAACTACCCAAAGAAGATCATAACCCACAAATCAAACCTACCACGAGCAGATAACAAAACCGGTCACCAAAAAATAACACGGAGGCAGTATTGCTCTGAGCAGAACGTGAAAGGGTTTTCAATAAATCACAACCAAAAAACCTCAAAATTTGAAACGTCAGTTAGAAATCGACACCTCCGCTCCCTAATTTTCCGAGGGCGCAATAAGCCCGTAACAGTACTAACGCGTGCTCGTCAGTAACCTGCAGTTTCTCAACCCATACGGGACGATCGATAATTCCCCCCCCCTAAACACAGAAGAATACAGACAACTCACTGATCCTTTTGATTAAATGCAGAATACTGGATCGCACTTTCCGGCAGTGTAAGGCACAAGTTCCAACAAACACCGCGGCGAGTCGGCAGGAGGCCGTTTAAAATGCTTGCCGCATAAATTTCTCATCAGGCTGCATATATGTGTGTATTTGTTACGTAAGCACCTGCCACAAGTCACGAGACGCCTCCGGGTGCTGAGAGTCCCTGGAAGGCCCCAGTAAGATTAAAACACGCAGAAGAGGCAGGCTAGAGAACGAGGAAGGAAAAAATATGCATGACTGCATACACCATGACAACCACAGTGTGTTGTCACACACACACACAGAGCAGGGTACGGCAAGTGGACTCGAGTAGCAAAGGGACACGCAGCTCATAACTTATGCATGCATGCATCAGTTCCACCAGAAAGTAGTGACGCCCCACAAGCTCGCCAAGTACTACTAGATGCTTCAGGACGACGAGGAGCAACCGGGCATTCGCAGCCTGGTAAACACAGCGAGGTTACCGATCAAGGCGACAGAAAGGAGAGAGAGGGGGGAGGAGTTCGACTTTTCGATGGGAAAATAGAATAGTGCAAAACTTGGGAAGATTAATAAGACGAAATCTATGCACAAATGCGCAATAGATCAGGGCACACGAAAATCGAGAGCACTTCTGAGAGCACAAACAATACAGTATCAACTGTAGT